AATGTTTTGTGGGGTTTAGAAAAAACTTCTAAGTCAAACATACAGCAATAAAACAAACAAACTAACTAAAAAAATAAAAACCAGAAGACAAATACAATTATGCCCATAAAGTGGCACAATGTCATATGTAGATTATGATCAGTTAAGGATCAGTCAGTGAAGTTTATAAATCGGAATGACAGAAAATACTCATTTATTCCATAGAAGGAATAAAACTAGAAGAAAAGGAACAAAGTAACATTTGAATAATAGAAAATAGACGGTAAGATTTAAATCTGTTCGTGTCAATAATGACATTTAATTCTAAAGTTACATACTCCAATTAAAAGATAGGATTGTCAGACTGGAAAAAAATATGTACGTGATTCTCTATTGGACATAACAGGCTAAATTAAACTTCAAAGTATAGGGAAATAAGACAGGAAAATATCTACCATACCAAAATTAATCAAAAGAAAAGAAGAAGTTATGGTAATGGTAGATGAACTAGATTCTAGAGCAAAAAATTGTAAAAAGGATAAAGACTGTCATTTCATAAGTTCTTCTAAAAGACAAAAAAAAGTCTGGATATTTATGAATCCAATAGTAAGGGTTAAAGATACACAAAGAAAAATTGATAGGACTGCAAAAAGAAATACACAAATCAACAATTATAGGAGACATTCACAATATTTTCTCAGTGATTGACAGAAAATGTTGACATAAAATCAGTAACCACATAGAATGCTTGAATAGCCTATCAACTAATTTAACCTGACTGGTGATTATGAAATAGTCCATGCAGCAGTTTAATGTAGCCTTAAACTCATTCTTTTCATGCCCACATAGAGCTTTCCCAAGGACATAGCATATTCTGAATGATAAAATTATACTCAGTATTTTTACGAAACTCAAACTATACAAAGCATGTTCTTTACAAGATAATTATATTCAAAATGAATAACAGAAGATATTTTGAAAATTTCCAAATTTAAGGAAATAAAATACATTTCTAAGCAACCCATGATAAAAGAAGAAAGTTAAATGAGAACGTATTTTGAACAGAATGAAAATGAGTTCACACATAAAAATGTATGGGATGCAACTATATTGAGCTTTGAAGTGATATTTATAACACTAAATGTTTATATTAAAAAGCTCTAATGACCTATTCTATTTAACAAAGCAAATAAAGAGTAAGAAGAGAAAATCAAATCCAAAATATAGAGATGAAAAATGTAAAGATAAAAACAAAGAAATATTGTAGAAAATGAAACAATGTATAAAATCTATAAAAAATAAGTGTTTTCAGAAAATCCATAAATTTAATCCACTTCTATACAAATTAATAATACATGAAAGAAAGATAATAACAATACCAATATCAGACTCGAGAGAGACAATCCCTGTAGATTAGATAAAATAATAAAGGAGACTAATCTGAAAAACTTATAGGAGTTTTAAAATATATCTAAAATTCTTTGTTAATCTTTTTAAAAGGAAAGCCTATGCCCTCTCCTCCATTGTGGACTTAACTTAGTGTTGTGTTTGTTATAAATTGGATAATGTAGATATGACAGTGTACAAGTTTAGAGATTATGAAAGGCGCTGTGGCTTCTTCCCCTCTCACTTTCTCTGGAGTCACTTCTCTGGGAGAAGTGTTCCTGTTGTAAAGATACTTAATCATTTAAGCAGCTTATGAACAGAACCGTGTGGTGAGAAACTAAGGCCCCTGCCAGCTATCAAGGAACAGAGGTCGTCTTCCAGCAGCTATGAGAGTTATCATCTTAGAGTTAGATACCTTAACTCATCAAGCCTCTGATGACTGCAGCCACATGAGAGACCTTGAGACGAAATCATCCAGCTAAGCTTCCCCTGGATTCTGACTCAGGGGAACTTGGGATAATAAATGTTTTGTGTTTTAAGCATTGTAGATGGAAGCAGTAGGTCCCACTGCAATAGGTAAGTAAGAAAAACTTTATATAAATCAATGTGACAATTTAGATAAAAATAAATTCCATGAAAGTTACAAAATAATGACACTCATTGCAGAGTAACAGGAATAAATAATTTGAATAGCCTAAATCTATTTTGAAGAATTGAATTTGTAGTTTAAAACTTTGCCACAAAAATAAGCACAGAAATTTTCACTGGTTCTATCAGAACATTAAAAACCATTCCTTTGCCTTGAAGCATCTCAAAACACTGAAACCCATTCCTGATGCTTTACTAAACATTAAGGAAAAAATAAGAGCAATTGTACAGAAATGCTAATAGGAAACTGAAGAGGAGAAGACATATCCTACTTTATGCATATTCAAAGAGGCTGCCGTTACCTGTACAATAAAATAAGAAGACAACGTTGGAAGGAAAAGAAGTATCTATCTTTTTTATTTATCTATCTCCTAGCCACTCTTATACAGAAAGCCCAGGAAGCATGAATACACAAATAAATAACAATAGAATGTATAGCACATACATAAACCAGTAATATAGTTGTTCATCAAGTATTATTTACTGTGCATCATTATAAATAATTTACACAACCGGCAACAAAGTAAATTTGTTTGCACCAACATCACCCCAAACACATGAGTAGTGCATTACACTATAACTTTGTGACAGCTATGACATCACCAGACCCAAGGAATTTTTCAAGTCCGTTATAATCTCACAGGGCTGCCATCTTATATGCAGTCCATAATTGACCCAAACATTGTTATGTGGACCATTGTCTTTATCAACATTTTAAGACATCTCCATGTGTGCTTCTAAAAATATAACTCAAATTTCACATATTAAAAACAAATTCTTAAGTGTACTATGCTCTAAAGCATTCTCCTAAGCTTACTTTTTCTTTATTGTTTGAAGGACATCAGCACCCATCATTAGGCTGCCTCCACCAGAAATCTCTTGTTCATACTGAAAAACATTGTCTCAATAATCTTAGTTATTTTCTTCATTCTATCACTAGGCCAAATCAACTTTCCTTTCTTTCTTTTTTTTTTGGCCAGGGGCTGGTTTTGAACCTGCCACCTCTGATATATAGGGCTGGCGCCCTACCACTTTGAGTCACAGGCTCCGCTCAACTTTCCTTTCTAATATTGATCTCACTGATCTCTGATATCTTCTCTATTTCCACTGCCACTGCTGCTCGTCTGATTTTCATCATTTTATGTTTAGAGGAGGGTTTCACTAGTCTCTGTTTCTAATTTGGTTCTGTTTTAGTTTTCCCATATATGCTAATCAAGAGACCCAATGTAAACCTAAATAAACTATTGCCTTTAAAAATTATTTTAATGTTCCCAAAGATTTCATAATACTGTTTAATTCCTGAAGCTTTATCCATATTGTTTTCCTATCTTTCAGGCCTTATCTTATATTGCTTGACCCCTAAACATTTGACCCTTCAATAGTAACTTGAAGATTCTGTTTTAATCATACCATGTAGTAGTGTAGCTGTTAATATTATCTATAACATACTCTCTGTCCAAACACAAGATCCAATATGTGTTCAAGTAGCTCCCACTCTTCCTTAATGACTAAACTTTTATTGGTTCAGAGATACTTCCCTCGATGCCTAGACCTTGCCCCCCACCTAATATAAACTTAATGTTAAGTGTCTCCATCTTGTGATCCAGTAGTTCTCCACATAGATATCCATTATAACATGGATTATAATAAGCCATTACTTTTAATTATGCTTGTTTTACTCTTCTTACTATATGGTAGCCAGTTAAGGACAGAAACTGTGTTTACATTGTCCTTGTAATCTTAGTCTCAAGGGTAATTCTAAGATTTCAAGGTTTTTTTGTAAACATTTGTTATATAAAATAATAATCAAATTGTTAAATAAAACTTTTAAAAGTAAAACATGAATATGATATATATAGCATTATAGTGTATCTTTTTTATACTATATATGCACTTAATATTTTATTTTTTATTAGATCAGAGCTGTGTGTTGTACCTTTCAATTAAAGATCTATGTATAAAAATATTTATCCTAATAATTTACTAGAAATTAAACATAAATGAAACCATAGTGATATATTTCATTGTTAGTATATTTTTGCAAGCTTATAATCCCAAATTCTCTAAGCAGAGTTTACTTATATCTTCCAAGTTTTGTTAAGGACCTGGATTGCCATTCACTCCAATATTTGCAAATGTCTATTTTCCTTAGTTCATTGATCTTGTCTTCTTTAAACCAGGTTTTCATTGATATTATTTATACAAAAACTCAGAAGGCTTTAGTTCATTAATTTCTCCTAAATTTTGACTGTTCTTTAAAGAATTAAAAAAAAAATTCCATAGTAATGATATTCATGAAGAAAAGTAATGCACAGCCAGTTTAAAAACAATACAAAACAAAACAAAAAAACAACTTTGGTTTGCTACCAGTGGAAAAAGTTTTTCAGGCAAGATGAATCTGAAGCAAGAGTATGAGAAATAAATAGAGGAGACAACAACATAGTTTGTAGGTTCTGAAATACGGTGTTTCTGCTACAACTATTAAAGTTTTTAATACTAATAACTGTAGTTATAGACATGAACATATTCTCTAGATCTATGGATTCTTACTCCAAAGCAAAAGCAGCATAAATACACTAAAATAGACTAAGGGCCCTAGCTATGGTAAACCAGCAATTCACACGTACTTTCTTTTGAAGTGAATGGTATGAACATTCTTGTACCTCAAGTTCTTTGCCCACAGTTGAATGTGTGAGAAATTTAGAACTCCCAGATTCTTCATTATTACCTTGAAAATGAAGAGCTATAAATTTCAATAAGTCATAGCATTTTAATTCTTTTTATCTTATTGGCACCAGGCTAATACATTTTTATACTATAAGTATTTTTCCTATATTACTTGCAAAAGAAGTTAAGTTTTACTATGAGTTACCGGAGAATAGATGCAAAGTCTCAAAAAAACCCAAAATTTCCACAAATTGAAAGATCTGACTGAAGTTTATTATGGATTCATGAACAGGGCAGCATCCTATGTAGGTAATGGAAAGGTGCTCCACATGAGTAAGGAAAATAACAATTCAGAGTGACACCTGAATCCTCACTGCTTATGTGAGATGACTTTTTGAGTGGGTAAAGGTTGCCCCAAAGGTGATCTCCTACTTTGTGGGATGCCTGGGTGTCACAATCTGACCAACACCCTTAAAAAAAATAAAAGGTAAGAGAACAGCTGATTCTTGTAAAGTAGCCTGAGGAAGTTCAAGGAATTAGCATAGTGTAAAAATTAAACTGATTACTATCAAGTTACTTCAGGTCACTTTCCTTGTATGAGTTAAGGCAGAGAGGACTTCATTATTATAATACCTCACAATTGGGCTTCCTTTATATTGGTTGCTATAAATCACCTGCTTTTTTCAGAAAACTGATCTATTCAGGGACTTGGCCATCATCTCTCTCCAAATTTTTAGTTTGTCTGATCTTACAAGTAAACCATTTAGGTTTTGGTTTGGTCATGTATAATCTTACCATGAGTGATTCCATTTTGGTTTGATCTGTTAGGGCCTAGGTCAGGAGGTCTATCCAAATCAATGGCCTCCTCAAAATTTTGTTTTAAAAAGTCAAAGGTTTATAGACTACTAATTTATAATGGAGGGAAATTTCAGGGAGCTGAAGTGAGGGTAAAGAGGAGTGAAGCAGGGAAGGAGGAAAGTCAACTCAAGGGATCTATTACCAGAGTCAAGTGTGATGAATTGCTCAGTGTTTCATGATTATTTTCTGAAAAGCCAGGATGTGACTTTTTCTCAAAGTGGACTTGGGAATTCACTTAGAATTCATTATAGTAGCCATAGACTGGGATGTTGAAAGTCACCCAGACAGCCCAGAGAAAAGATAGATGAGGCAGAGATTATTTACATGGTGCTTAAAAGGTGCCTGATACAAAGCATCTGAGTTTAATCCAGGCTCTTGTTCTGGAAACTTCACCAAATGTCAGTAGTCTGTCCCTTCTTTCAAAGTATTGTTTTTGAGGTCATTACTGTTGACGTGTTCCACAGCTTTTTGCCAAATTACAAAATGTAACATGGGTGGTATGATTATCTTAACCTTTTTTTGTACAATTAATGTATTTTTCAACAGATTAGGCATCAAGATTGCTGCTGATTATAGGAATAAACTGTTGTACCACAATTTAGTCACTTGGTTGAAGAACTGGGGACATTGTCTATTGTTCTCTTTATTACTCATTCCACCTGTGAAAGGCGAGTGAATATCAATTAGGGGTGGACTGCTACTTGGTGTCAGGGTGTCTCAAATTTCCACAAGATCTCCAGACTACAGGGTAAAACATGCTCATTTGTCTTAACATAAAAAGAGAAATGCATCAGCCTTCTTTCATCCTTGAGAGGATTACAGGAAGCCTGAGAGTTGGCAGTGCATGTATAAGAAGGCACTTAATACCTTACACTCAGGCCAGATTTGTGGCTATTTTTGCTTTGAAAATGTGAGAATAAATGAACTTGGTGCAAAATCTAATTTATTTATCATGTGCTGAGTATAAACTGAAAAGTAGGAGGTCATTAAAAGTACAAAAAAATCCCTTATGTACAACACATGAGAAGGATAGATATTTGGTTCCTGGGGTATTGTCTCTGGAGAAATGTAGGCATAATATTTCTTTGAAAATACCATCTCTGTTTTCTCTCTCCTGGTGGTATATCCTTTTCTCCCACACATGTTACGTATCTCTAGCTGCCTCTCTATCACAGTCTACAAATCATTTTGTCAGTCTTTCTCTTGAATACAGCTGAATTTTAAGATCAATGAACTTATTTGCCAATTTGACAGGGCTATCAGTTGTGGTAGCAATTAATTAAGCCTTACAAATTATTTTAACCCACGACTAGTAGTCACTACACTGCTTAATTGCCATTCAGTCACACAGTTAAATGTGCCTGAAATTAACACCATATTCTACAAAGGAGACAATTTTAACCAGACTGTCCAGTTGCTAATTTTCCGAATATTTCTTTAGGCATAGCATAAAAAACTATTAAGCTTTAACATAGGAATCGTACTTTTTGTGAAAGCATTTGAAAATGTTCTTTTCATGTTCAAAACCTAATTGGGAGTCAAGCAAAAAGTGTTTTAGAAAGAAGCATTTTTTTTTCTGGTCTTCATGGGATTTAGCACTGAATTAGGGGAGATAAACAGAGAGAAAGACATAGGGGGAGTGTACAAGGCGTGCACATGTACAAATACCTATGTTCACCTTGTCATTTATCTGCTACATTGATTTGTGGCTGATCTTCACAACTATCATTTACTACGATGAGCCAACTTGGAAACTAAAACTCTATCCAACTTGTGAAAATATATTTAGATCTGATCAGTGCTAGCAAGCATCCTTCACCAGGATGGCTCCAGCACACAGTGCATTTGTGATTTTATGGCAAAATAGCAGATTTTATAGCAAAATAGCAGAATTAAAGGGTTTCTCGATTCACTGTTTGTGACTGGATTTTTAGTTTAAGCTACAAATACATGCAATATATATCTGCCTTTGAAATAGCAATTTTAAAATGATACGCTTCATGTACTAAGCACATAAATGTATGTGTTAATCCATTCCCAGCAGAAGAGCCAACTTCCCATTCGTGTGCTCATGTGAAAGAATGTGTTGTCAGGAGAAAGAAAAATTATGTTATAGGGAGAATATCATCTTCCATGTAGAAAGGGAAACTAATGTTCCAGAAGTTCAAGCTGGTCAAAGGAAACCTCTTAATCAGTACCTAGAAGATCTCTTCCAGGGTACCACCTGCTTTATGTAGACAACTTCTAATCATCTCACAATCACTTTGAAATGAAGGTACTAATATTTTTTTGTGTGTCAGATAAGAAGGTTAGGCTCAGAAAATTATGCAATTTGGTATGTTCTTACAGTTTGCAGTTGGAATAATCTTTTCACCAGCTTTGTAGCTTCCAAACTATTTGTCATACTTCTAATCTGGTCATATGGTTATATCACATCCCTGCCTAAAATCTTTTCATTTTTCTCTAGTGTCTAAATCATAAAACCTAAAGTCTAATTAATTCTTACTTTGATGCTACCCCTCCAGTATTTTCTGTCAACTTTGTGCAGTGTACACTGAGTTATATCAATAGTTAATTAGTTGTAGTTCCCAGAAAAACAAACAAATAAAAAAACTATTTTTGTTAAGATTCGATATATCCTTCACTTTTTGCCTGAGTGATGTGGTACTTTTCTTCCTAAACCACTCCTTCTAACCCTACATACTTATATTTCTCCTGACTAATTTTTCATATCATTCTGATTCAAATCTGCCTTTATTTACTTTTTGAAGCATTACAAAATGTGGCCTTGCTTCAAATTCTTAATTGTTTCCTCGGCCACTTACTCTCACATTTTACCTCGTGGCTGTATTGTTGTCTATTGATATATCTGTCCCCACATACTAGACCTTGGGTATTTCAGAGAGAACCATAAGTTCTATTTTTAGCTATAGCTTTATAGTTTTAGAACTAGCGAATTACCTGGCACTTCATAGAAAGTCAGTAAACGTCGATAAAACAAATCGGTACATTGGGCCAGGCTGTACAAGAAGGTAAAGTGACCATGAATGTTGGATTTAAAAGAAAGGTAGTTCTCATTTGGGAGGAATCATAATCAAATAAGAATATCACTGAAAAAAATATTGAGCGGAGAAAAGAAAAAATCAGTGATTGTAGAAGAAACTTTAAGAAGATTTCTCAGATTAAATTTATATTATGCAACATTCACTGTATTTTGGAGTCATAGGAATGGTGATCTTATGTAGATTAATGATTTTGTTTGTTATTTATCATTTTGTTCTCAGGATAATCAAGTATATAAAATTGTAACTTGACTGGCAATCTCGTATGAAGCATTTGATGAATTTGTTATGTGTATGCTTGGGGAATGGAGGGAGGAAAAGTGGATGGAGAAACAAGAAGTGAGTGATTTGAATTCCATTAAATAACCTCTTACTAAATGAGTTCATAATGAAAATGCCTTACTAAATCTTTTATAGTCACAGAATTTGTTTACCGTTTTATATATTTCAATAATTATCAATTCCAATGATTTTTCAAATAAAGATTATTTATTTGAGAATTTTCTTCTCTTTATTTGTTTTAATAACCTCCTTTGTCTCAGAAGAAATTTAAAGTTTTCATCCATTACTGAACTTTGGGTTTGCCCAATAACTTTAGAATTTCAGAAGATAATACATATTCTTGAATGTTTTCTTTATTTGGAATATATTTTAGCTGAATTAGAAATTTGTAAGCAATCATAATGGCTTCTGTGTGAAGTCTTCTTCCCAAGAAACTTAGTTCCACTGCCAACACTTCATTTCTGATTTCCCTTAGGAGAATTATGAAAAAAAAATGTATTTCCACAGCTAGGTCTTATTTCACTGGTCTTAAAGAAGTCCCTGTTTTCCTTCTAAAATCCAATTGTTTTATACTAAACTTTTTATTGTAATGTATTTTTAAAATATTTATAATTATGTCTTAATAAACCAATAGTGATGTCATAAAGCAAATAGCTAGAGGGTTGATACACTTGCTGGGGTCCACCTTGTAGGTTCAGAATATTCACAAGAAAGTAACGCATCCTGAGAAAGAGAGCCTCTTTTTGCAGAGGCTGACCCAGAGTTCATGATTCTGATAACAGTGCAGGATATGCTTCTCAGATTGTTCTCCATTCTTTTTCATACAACATAGATTCCTAAGCAAGGAGATTGCAATTATATGCCTGGTGAAAAAGTCCACTATGATCTCTGCAGAACCTGGAGACCTCAATATTATAGGAAATTCTGACCCAGATTCTTTATTGTTTTTTATATTAATATTGGGCTCACTTTGCACCCTATTTCTTCTATAAGGAAAAGAGAATATATCTACAGCTATAATTCATTATAAATATGGATCTGGGGAAAAATCATCTCCAAAATGCTGGAAAAAATATTTGTGTTCATTTATATAATAACCAAGTTAAGAATAAACTTCAGCAATTCAACATAAAATGCATTAAGTAACCTAAAATAATATTTTAAATATAATAAAATTTTAACTGAATAATATTGTTAGTGGTCTTTATCAATATGTATTGTGTTCTTTTATTTTTTTCATGAAACACAGCCTGAGTACCAGAA